AGAGACATAAGGTATTTTCTTGTGCTATGGTGTGGTAACTGTAAAAAATAACCTTCTGGTACCTGCTTCTACAATTCTGCAGGTGAGACAGGCTGCAATTACAAGAGATGGCATACAGTAGTCCTTGAATAGGACCACAGCAGACGCATTTATAACTTACTCTACATTATCATCTACATATTTACAAATCCTATTTGACTTATTTAAAGACAGGGGTAGCCAAGCAAACTGTCAGTACAGGTGAAAGTCTCTTCATTAGTGATGGCACTCACAAAAACATCTGCAAAAAAATAGCCTCCAAGCAAACACTGCATTGTAATTACATGCAGAGGGACAGACAATAACTGCCTACCAATGCTGGGAATACTCCAGTTACTGAAAGTCTATGGAAAGAGAGTCTCAGTCTAGCCTCTTTCACATGAAATCTCATTATCAATACAACCTGCACGACTGGCAAAATGCAAAGTAAAATCCCAGCAACAGATTTTAGTAGTATCTTCCTTATTCTAATTCCAGCTAGTCTCAGTGATGAAGCAGGGGCTGCAGCTAACTGTTGGCAATTTCAGCAGCCATAATATCGATTGAAAGCGCAGTACAAACAATAAACAGACATCTACCTAAAATTCAAGGAGACATATGTCATGTGAGTCTAATCTGCAGTTTAAGGTAGAATCCAAATCTCCATAACTCCTGGCCAGAAAAAAAAGTAAATAATTCAACCTTAAACTGGAATGGTACGCCTGCAACAACTGAACTGTTGTCACAAAATTGTTCTCAAACGTACTTCAAACTTGCCACATGGATTAATCGGCAGTTAGAAGCAGCTGCAACACCATGTTCTGTGCACTTCTGTTGCCATTTTAATTTTTAAAAAGCAAATGGAGAGGCTCTCCACAAAATTCAATGCCGCAATAGCAATGACTGAACCAGAATCACAAAATTATGAACAGTTCACTAAATTGTCTATTAGGAGCACATATCAAGAGGCTGCAGAACAAATTGTGTGCTTGAAATAACAGATCAATGAATGAAGAATAAAGATACGTAAGAAGTGGAGATGTTGACGAACTATTGTAATTTGTGAAGAATCAATTTCCATACAGCCAGAGTAACAGCAGAACATCATGGATAGTGTATTCATGACTTTTAACAGCAAAAAATCATGTATTACCAAATGGAAATTTATTAATGCTCCAAGAAAGAGAGAATGATGCTTGTAACATAAGGCCACTTCTTAAAATTAGTAAAATGCAGTAAAAGCAGCTCACAATATCTAAGTACAGTAATAATAAAAAAAAGGTTGCCTTGGGCAGTATGGGTATACTCTTTAAAAATTAGAAAAATAGCATACGACTGAGCTAACAATGGAAACACTGAATACACTGAATACTCTTCTCTGATGATACAAGTCTAGCTACTTTATCATCTCACTGTATGTCCAGCTACATAACGTTCAGCCACAAGTACATATTAGAGAACTCCTAACGCCAAAGGGTGATGTTTCAATGCAAAGGCCTAAGGCCAGATTTTCTGCATCACCTTATGAATTATATGAGCTGCTGCTTCTCAAGCTGTCACAGTTTCCTACACACACCTTACCCTAGACTACAAAATGGCTAATCAGAGGGTAATATACCACTTCTCTACTATTCAACTTCTACATCAGTGATCCACCAATCAATGACACAAAAGAAGGTTTTATTTATGCGAACAAATGCCAAGGGTCTTGCCGGTCAGCATCCCCTGCATTCTCAGATAACTATATAAACATTCATAGTGCCAAAACCAGACAATGGAGTATTTATAAATTTGTGCCTTGTTGGAAAAATTGTGTAGTATCAAACACCTAGCAGACAACAGATTGAAACACAGATTAATTTATTTTCTCTCTAAAAAACACAAAACAAATAAACAACTTGGAAAAACTCACCCTGTCAGATTCCTGACCTCAAACCTCCCTTGGCTTTTATCTACCAATATAAAAAAAGGTGCATTTTCAAAGATCACTCAAACCTGAACATGAAGAACGAATATAAGTAAAGCAAAATGCACAAGACAGACAGATGTAAAGCACTCACTCCATGAACACACCCAACCTCCTTATTAATCAAAAATCATAAAAAGTCGTTCATACTACCAGGGGCTGAAGCGGTGGCACTCGCTATTCAGATGTATAGAATGAGGAATTTGATGATGCTGCCAAACACTTATAAGAAGACGCGGCGGCACAGGAACCGACACGGAGACATACTAATCTTTATAGTTGTGTCTTGTCCATCTCATTTATCTGGAAAATGGGGATATTTGAACAATACAGGCACACACACAAAGGTCTGCAAAGACAGACCATGGAATAGGTGCTAATCTGTTTCCTGTTGGAAGAAATGCCTATTAAGCAACTTAGACAAAACAGCAGATTGGGCAATAGTACATTTCCCTGTTTTGGAAAAATATTCACGTGAGTTGAAAGGATGTGAGAACCAGCAGCAGTAGACCCCATTGTCTCCTCCCCTGCCACAGCCCTTGCAGGTACGAGAAGGAGGTGGAAAGCAAGGTTCTTCAATCCCTGATAACAAACCAGTGCTCAACTGCCAAGCAGGTCCAACACATCAAGCACAGAGCCGTGGCTCTCCCCTGAATGAAACAGAGGGGCTGAGCTAGCCACAGAGCAGCAGACCACCACTCAGCAGAGGCCTCGCAGGGTCAGCAGCAGCTTGTCATTGCAGTCGCAAAAGCACAAAGGCTGTCTCCATCACAAAACCTCTTCAGGAGCCACAGCAAGGAATTGGGAGACAGACTAATCCACGTAATCTATCCTGATGAAGTCACAGCAGTCTGGCCTGCAGTGGCTTTTCATTGTACCTGAATGAACATATAAAACCTGCACACTGAAAATCCACTATGGTTTACTTAAGAATTGAGATAATTTCAGCAATTTTTCTCAAACAACAGAAATCCTTTGTAACAGAACACAGCAATTGTATTTAAATGGACGCTTGTACATATAAAAGCACAGCACTGCACAGCCCTGTGTTGTTAGACTGTGCACCTATGAATGTCCCACTTTCTTTCCTCTCCTGGTGTACTGCTCTCCACCGAACCCCTTAATTCCACTTCTCTCAGCCTGACAGTATCCAAACTAATGCTGGTGGGAATTGTTACACCATACCTCACTCAGCTACACTGGTTAAGGACAGATGGAGTGCTATTCCTGCTAATCAAGATGGGCAGACTTCTGCCATGCACTCCTTTCTTGAGCCTGCATGCTCAGTGCTTACAGAACTTCCCAGAGCCTGTCCTGCTACACCTAGAAAAGGCCATGTAATTAGATGTTTCTTCAGCTTTAACAAATGCAGTCTTGGCAGCAAGAGAAACTGCATGAAACCATTTGGTGATAAATTTAAGTATATACTTATTTATCTATCCAAGAAATTCAATCAATCAAGAGGGTTTATACTATTTACTCTGCAACAGGGTAGGACTGGCTGTCATTTCAGACTTTTTCGTTTTCTTTTTACTCTTTGGTACACAAGTGTACTGGCTGGCGGTGCACAAGAAGTTGGGAGGGACACAGCAGGGCAGCTGACTGCAACTGACCAAAGGGATATTCCATGCCATATGGAATATGGTGTCATGCTCAGCAATAAAAGCTGAAGAAGTCTAGAGCTATCTTCCAGTAAGGTGCTCATCTTCCCAAGTCACCGTTACACACGAAGAAGCCCTACTTTCCTTGAGATGGCTAAACATTCCCCTGCTCATGGAAAGCACTGAATAATTCCTTATTTTGCTTTGCTTGTGCACACAGCTTTTGCTTTACCTATTAAAGTATCTCAGCTCACGAATTTTCTCACTTTTACTCTTCTGATTCTCTTGCCCATCCCACAGCAGTGAGTGAGTGAGCAGCTCTGGGGGCAGGGGGATGAACTGCCCACTGGGGTTAGACCAAGAAAGTTTAAAAGATAAAATGTCTAAATGTACACAATCAACTCTATCTCCGAGTAGTCTGAACTAATTCAACAGAAAGAGTAAGTGGGGAATGTGTTTCATCCTTATTAAAACAACAACAATAATGAAAGTAGACAAGCCATGAGGCAAATGCAGTTCTTGAGTGACATGCCATAATGATTTCAACAGACACAGCCAGACAACATCGTATAGTCTCTAAGAAAAAGACCATAGTTTGTACATAGAACTGTGCACCCCCTTTCTCCAAAAGCCACTCTGACGTGAGAAGCATTACTACCTAGAGGTCAGCGTGCTGAGGCTGTTCTTTCTGTTGGGCAGGGGAGGTTGTGACAGTGCAGGGAGGACCACAGCACATACGGATTTGCATTTGCTGATACCAGTCGCCTTTCTTCTCAAGTCAATGCTCTGACTCCTAAAGCATCACAGTAAGCGTGTCACTGAAAGTAAGGTAATTTTCACATAGAAAAGGAACCATGGTCAGTCACTTCTACACGTACTACACCCACAACATCCCTAACAGAAGCCTGGAAGTACCAGTAGCATCCAAATATCTAATACATCAACAAGTACTTAATCCATTAATAATGAGACCTCTACTTAATCCATCTAGTGGCTCCTGGTATCTCCTGGTAACATGAGAAAACCAGCCAACAATTCATCTTCAGCTAGAAAGTAAAATGCCAGTTTTGTACCCAATGTACCTTTTGTACATTGAGGAAAAGAAAGTAAAGAAAATCCTGCACTGCATAATATTCTCTGATTTATGTAATCTAGACGATACTCTATTTTGAACACACACTAAAATTAAACTCTAGTCTAAATTGCATCTTAAGCTATACAGCAAATAATGGCAATTACTCTTACAGCATTAACAGGCAACAAATCCTGAAACACCTTTTGTTAAATGACAGCAGCCTCACTAAATCTTTCTTAATATATACAAAATTAAAAGTACCATTTCCACAGAGAAACATAACAGAAAGCACAGCACACCAATACATATATGCATGCATACATCCACACAATTAATATACCTCTCCGAGAGCTTCATAGCGCTTTTGGTTCCATCTATGCAAATCTTCACGGTAATTAAAAACAAATGGCTCCCCAGTTTTTATGTGTCTCAACTGCCCTTCTGTAAAAGAAATAAAATCATTAAATTTTAATATACCATATACTTCTCCATTAAAAGTACAACATATTTAATTGCTGAAAATTTTAAAAGAAGACTACATCTAAAAGCTGGACTATTAAGAATTCCTTCTCTTCTGGTTACAGCATTTTTGAAGGAAAACAATTGTAGCATTAACAAGAAAATGCATTCCCCTTGAATGGTGTATATATTGCTAGATTAAGCTAAACACAAGTTATGACAGTGAAATTACGTGCAGATATCAAATGTCAAACTGCTTTGCAAGTTTGCTAGAGATTAACACTGAAATGCAAACAGGAGCAGTTAATATTTGATCTGCAGTGTCAATTAGGTAATCAAATTGTAGTTACAAATCTCCTACCTCAAAACCAACTGCATTTATGAAGAAATGCGAGTACGAATTAAGCTGGAAGGAAAGGAAACATTTCTTTTCAAGATTAACAACATTCCAAGTTAATCTGAAAAAAAGATCACATCCACAATTCAGGTAAATATCTCAACTCCTAGGCACCCTGCAACGAAGTAAGAGCTTTTAGATTCAGGGTACTCTGAGATTGCAAAGTAGTAGAACAAAGCAGAATGCTTCATTAGAGCAAACCCACATGCTATTCTTACGATTCCAATGTAACTTGCTGAGCTGGCCTTGTTTATAGTGAAAGTTCAGTAGTATACTCAACCACAGAGGAAGAAATGGACTAAGTTAAAATAATAATAACAATAAAATGGCAACCGAGTAAGAAGCAAACTGCAGAAAGCAGATATCTTACTAGCAATGTTTCAGCTTAATAGACAAAACCCAAGTTATGGTCTCAGAGCATCACAAAATTGCAGTAGATCAAAGAAACACTAAAACCAGGAATATGTACAAGTATCTCCTTTGAAAGCTGAAACGTCTGCATGACGAAGCAAAATGTTTCCTCTTGAATAGTAAGAAATTGCTAACTTAGTTAACACCTTTTCAGTACCTTTACATTTTGATTCTTGACGTTTTAAATAAAACATTTAAGATCTGATATCTCTAATAGTTATGCTTATCTGCTTATTTGTAAGTTTTTCCAGACCTGTCTTAGCTCATGTACTAGACACCAGGGAAATATTTCTCCCCAACTTCATAGCACTGTCTCAGGTCCAAATATCCCTCCTCTCACATTTTCATCATAACTCTACCTTCAGCTGTTCTTTCTCAGCTAGTTACTCTTCAAATATGCCATTCAGGAATACACAAAGTTGCTCTCTCCACAAGTAAAGTGGAGCAAATATCTGGTATATTTTTCCTCTGACTTTCTGGAACCTTGTCTTCTTCAGATTCTTTAAATCTGATAAAAACCTTTCTGACTTTTCGATCATAAAGAGAAGCATGATTATGACATAAAAGTACCTGACTGAACATTTGAATTAAATGTGCAAAAGCAAAATGAAGACCTTTTTGCTTTGCTGACCAGTGGCATATGTAATAGGTTTTGCTGCATTCCACGGAAATCACTCAGGCTGTGAGGTTAGTGATGGAATATTCAGCAACATCATTCTAAAACACCATTCCCCAAAATTCAAATTTCAGCCCTTTTTATCAACCACATATGAACCATTAACTCTGAAGTCAGTAAGGAAGACAGTAGACACTGTGAAGATCTAAAAATAAGAAGCTGAAAAGTGACAGAGCTGAACCCCTCCCATCAAAGAAAGAGCATCACTTTCATGACACTTTTAGTCTCTAAGTACCTTCCTGTGAAAGCCATCAGGGTATTAAAAAGCTAAGTGTTGCATAAATGACTATCATTTAAAGGAAAGCTCTTTTTTTTTCTTTAAAAGTGGAAGATGTAAGACAGGCAGATTTAGAAACTAAAGTTCCTCTGTTCACAGAACAGGCACTGCAAAGAAGTAGAATTGTAAACGTCCCCATTTATCCTACAGGTTTCAAACAATCCTGAAAGAGCCATTTCCTGGAGTCTGGTATTACTTTAGCTCAGAGGCTTATTTCTCAGCTGGATTTTAAAATGTATGCATTGGAAATCATAAATACTACTAACTCCTTTAACACACAGATTTGGCTAGCTGGAAGTACTTGCAGTCATCACACGCTTAGCTGCAATGCAAAACCACGACCCACACCAGAAGAGAGAGACTATCACACTGCTCATTCTTCCCTCCATATAGTGTTTTTCTATTTGTATTAACGAACAAGCTGGAATAAATTACTATCTAAATAATATCTTCTTCTGTATCCATGAAAATGAAACGTAAATAAAATAAATTAAAATGAATGGTAAATAAAACGTTTCTTAAATGAGTGACCACTCTTTAATTTTGCTTTTTATGCTAATGCTACAAAAATCACTTTCAGAACTTTTGTATTGACACTAGAAAACAGGAAGTCATAAAGTATGCACAGTACAAACCTACAGTTTTGTACAAAATGAGGGATTTTCATGACAATTTTATGAAATAAAAAAGTATTACTTAGCCAGATTTACAAGCCTGTTAACACTAAGGCTCAAAATTTTGTTCTTAACAGAAAACTGTGAAATTCTAACAGGGACTTACAAGGTATAATTAAAGTTCTGATAACCTCTCAACATTATTCTAAGTATAGCCTTTAGAAAGCATATACGACTTACTTTCATTAAAAATGTACTCAAATCCTTCCAGAGTATCAGGAAATTCAAGTGGTGGCTCATCTTTTTTCATTAGTTCATCCAAGTCTATTCTAGACAATAAATCTAAAAGAGGAAAAGAAAAATTACATAATGCATACTAAGTCTTTTTTATTTCACTATCATCACTGACAAAATGTGTTTGTTCAGATTTGTACGTCTTAAGGGTAGAAGGACATCCTACATATTGCTAAACATCGGACTTCGTTATGGGAAATCTTGTTACAGATTCAAAAGCTGGGCCTCATTGTCAGTATCTCTTCTTATTTATTTATTTACCTGTCTATCTCTAATGGTGATCGAAAAATGTCCAGGGACAGAGAAGCCACGGAAGACATGGTGATTTATTTCAATGATTCATTACACTGAATGTTAGAAATAAGTCCCATGGTTTTAACATGAATTTACATAGCTTCAGTTGCCAGTTCAGGCAACTACAGGCTGGTCAGTCTCACCTC